GCTTTTGTTTCCAATGTGTCCTGCTTGGCTTTCTCCTTGTACCCTCGGTTGCGGATGATATTTTTGTTGTACGCGTCCGGACCGTACTCTGGAACCCCCATGCTGTCAGTTCAATGGGAGGGGGGTACCGGAACTGCGCACCTGAGCCGCAACAGCAGCACTACTGTAATGGATTGGATCGGAAACACTGCGTGGTGTGCACACGCTCCAGTTCAGCTTCATTTAGAAATTGAGGGAGTGACAATCAGAAGGGCGAGGATGATGGGGATGAGGACGATGCAAAAACATGATAAGGATACCTGAGGAAAAAAAAAACTGAACCGTCAGACTGTGGTGAGGATGAGGCCGCCGAGAGTGACAAAAATGGAAGGCAAGGAAGAGACTGACCTTGAAAAGGCTGAGGATGACGAGGATGATGACGATACAGAACACGATTACGATGCAAAGCCCAATCGAACTGCATTTGAAAAGAAAGAGGGAAATTGATGATAAGGAAAACTGGTATGAATAGTCTGCAGCTCTCCAAGGGGTTCCTCATTGACGAACGGTTTCGCATTCTTGAAGCGGAATGCGTTCGAGCGGCCAAGTCGCAGTGATGGGAACTGGTTGTACTTTATTGCACGCAGTGTCATAGCCGAAAAATCCTCGCACCCACGACGCCCGCATCAGTTTAACAAAAACACATCGCAGGCACTATTTGCATAGTATCACCGCCAAGAGATGAAGTGCGCGTGGTAGCACCCGTCGTCATCGCCAGCACAAGCAGAAACACAAGCGCGCATCTCATCTTCAAGAGGAGTATCCTCGACATGACAAGAACCACCATGGCCATGAACGCGAGTCAGAAAACAAAACCGGCGGCATCAGAGCCGACCAAACGAGTTTGCTTGTAGGTAGATCTTGGTGGGGGGCTAGCCCGTATATATATATATATATATATATATATATATATATATACTAGAACCACGCGCGCGCTTCGCGCGCGCTTAGGTTCTGTCGAGTCACAGACCCAGGAATCGTTGCGAGAAGAAATTGGTGACGCGAAGCGTCTTGGGGGCGTCCTTGGACGTCTGGGGTCTCCTGGGGCCTCTTGAGGGGCCTCCTTGGGGCCTTCTTGGGCTCCATCTGGAAGCCAAGATGGATGCAACAAGAGGGTGCTTGGGCTCTCCGTGAGCTATCCTCTGGTTTTCATTCCCCTGGAGAGGAGAAGGAGGAGGAGGAGGAGGAGGAGGAGGAGAAGGAGGAGGAGGAAGATGCAAAGGAGGGAGGAGGAGGAAGGAGAGGAGATGTTGGGGCGCTCTTGGGGCCCTCTTGGGCTCTCTTGGGGCTCGTCGGGGCCCTCGTGGGGCCACCTTGGGCTCCTCTCGGAGCTCCAAGAGGAGCCCACAGAGGGGCCCAACATCGGTCACGCGAGAGCTCTTTCGCGTGACCGATGTTGGGGCCCTCTTGGGGCCCTATTGGGCCTCCTTGGGCCCTCTTGGGGTCTCGACGGGGCCCTCGTGGGGCCATCTTGGGCTCCTCTCGGAGCACCAAGAGGAGCCCAAAGAGGGGGCCCAACATCGGTCACGCGAGAGCTCTTCCGCGTGACCGATGTTGGGGCCATCTTGGGGTTCCTTGGGCCTCCTTGGGCCCACGTGGGGCTCCCTCGGGGCCCTCGTGGGGCCATCTTGGGCCCCTCTTGGAGCTCCAAGAGGAGCCCAAAGAGGGGCTCAACATCGGTCACGCGAGGGCTCTTCCGCGTGACCTATGCTGGGGCTCTCTTGGGTCCCTCTTGGGCCTGCTTGGGTCCTCTTGGGGTCTCGTCGGGGCCCTCGTGGGGCCATCTTTGGCTCCTCTCGGAGCTCCAAGAGGAGCCCACAGAGGGGCCCAACATCGGTCACGCGAGAGCTCTTCCGCGTGACCGATGTTGGGGCTCTCTTGGGGCTCTCTTGGGTCCCTCTTGGGCCTCCTTGGGCCCACGTGGGGTTCCCTCGGGGCGCCCTCTTGGGCCTGTCTTGGGGCCCTCTTGGGCCATCTTGGGCGCCTCTTGGGCCGTCTTGGGGCCCTCTTGGGCTGTCCTGGGGCCCTCTTGGAAGCTTCTTGGGCCGTCTTGGGGCGGTCTTGGGCGCCTCTTGGGCCGTCCTGTAACGTCGGAAAGCCCAAAAGACAACTTTGTTGAAAATGTACGTTTTACGAAGGGAATGGGCCAATTTTTGCATCTAGGGGCCCTCTTGGGACGCATGTTGGAGGCTTCTTGGGGCCTCTTGGGGGCGTCCTTGGACGTCTGGGGTCTCCTGGGGCCTCTTGAGGGGCCTCCTGGGGGCCTCCTGGCGGCCTCTTGGGGCGGAAGGCTCGAGCTTGCGGTTCGTGGTCCCCCTCTGGGCCCCCTCTTGGGCCCGTCTTGGGGCCCTCTTGGGCCATCTTGGGCGCCTCTTGGGCCGTCTTGGGGCCCTCTTGGGCTGTCCTGGGGCCCTCTGGGAAACTTCTTGGGCGGTCTTGGGGCGGTCTTGGGCGCCTCTTGGGCCGTCCTGTAACGTCGGAAAGCCCAAAAGGCGACTTTGTTAAAAATGTACGTTTTACGAAGGGAATGGGCCAATTCTTGCGTCTAGGGGCCCTCTTGGGACGCATGTTGGAGGCTTCTTGGAGCCTCTTGGGGGCGTCCTTGGACGTCTGGGGTCTCCTGGGGCCTCTTGAGGGGCCTCCTGGGGGCCTCCTGGCGGCCTCTTGGGGCGGAAGGCTCGAGCTTGCGGTTCGTGGTCCCCCATCTGGGCCCCCTCTTGGGCCCGTCTTGGGGCCCTCTTGGGCCATCTTGGGCGCCTCTTGGGCCGTCTTGGGGCCCTCTTGGGCTGTCCTGGGGCCCTCTTGGGAAGCTTCTTGGGCCGTCTTGGGGCGGTCTTGGGCGCCTCTTGGGCCGTCCTGTAACGTCGGAAAGCCCAAAAGGCAACTTTGTTGAAACATGTACGTTTTACGAGGGGAATGGGCCAATTTTTGCGTCTAGGGGCCCTCTTGGGACGCATGTTGGAGGCTTCTTGGGGCGTCTTGGGGGGCGTCCTTGGACGTCTGGAGGCCATCTTCAGCATCTCGGAGCCCTCTTGGAGGCCTCTTGGAAGTTTCTTGGGCCGTCTTGGGCGGTTCTGGGGCCGTCTTGTCTGACCGGGGAGGTCTCCGGCAAGCTCCGACGAGCCTCCGGGCCCCCCGGGGTACACATTTGCGGTCGGGGTCCCGGCCCCGGGCCCCCGGACCCGGTGCGCCGTTATATGTATATATAGACGCGCGCGAGAGAAAAGGCAAATTGTCCCGCCCTGGCTGAACGCGCCCTATACTCGGCCCCGCGCGATCCGCACGACCACCTCGCCGATCCAATGGGCGCAGATTAACTTCGTTTGGCTTGTAAGTTGGCATGCAAATGCGCACATGTGGCCCCAATCGTACTTCGCCCCGTCACGCGCCGAACTGTGCCCTGATCTACTCTACCCCGCTACGACGGCACGCGCAAACCCCCTCTTTTCTGGCAGAAAACTGGCGATTGTCAACATGACATGTCTACGCCGACCCAATTTCTGCCCTATTCGGAACGGGCTTACACCTCATCCGTGCCCAATTGCAGACAACCTGGCTCGCGGACAACCTCCAGTCCACACCTGCCGTGCTCCATTTCAACTCCTACTCCATCTCAACTCCTGCTCCACTCATATATACTCGAAGATGACATCAAAAAGGGTATACCTTATCTGGTAAAGATAGCCCCTCGCGCAATTTACCCCGCATGGTTGCCGAAAGAAACTCAATGGCCGAACATGGGAAGCGCCGATCCATGTGCGCCACCCTTACTGAGAGGGGGTCAGGCGGGGAGGGCGCACATGGATGGCGCGCAGGAGCGAGGGGGTAAAGAAGGGGAAAGACTGGAGTTTACATCGGGTGGATTCTGTGGATGCGCGTAACATGATGGAAGAAATAATGGTCCAAATCTGCAGGACCACTGCCGGCTGCCCAGAGGGCGCTAGTCGAATTGCTCGCGCTGCGCGCGAATAACCCACCGCGGGCGATAATCATTACCAGGGGATAATCAAGTTCGGGGGTTTGGCGGGGATATTGAAAGGAATTTCCCGGGGAAGGTAAGTTATGACGCTGATGGCGATGATCATGATCATGGTGATCCTGGGCGTTCGGCACAGGACTGACTCGAGAAATCTGGGTGCTCGTGGCCACACAGCTTGCCAGCAGGCGCTCGGCACAAGACTGACTCGAGAGACCTCGCGGTTCGTGGCTATACAACTTGCCAGCAGGCGCGCGGCCATGTGCCTGCGGAAGCTGATGTGGTGAGACCACCATGGCCATGCTCAGCGTTTGTGATGCTGTTGCTGGTCAACATGAGATGATAGCAACTTCGATTCGCAACTCCCCTCGCGGATTAGAAAGTTCGGCCTCCGCGCCCTTCTCCACAATTAAATCCTGTTGAACGGGGAAAATAGTAATAGATACCCTTAAGGGGGGTAGGCTGTATCATCGCCCGCACTCGGTTATAATCGCGCCGCGCCATCCAATCCACGATGGTAGCGCACCCTCATGGTGCTCGTTGCACAAAACATGCCGCCATAGACGCACGCCTCTGCCAAAACGCGATAGCGCATCGCGTTTTCCTACCGCGCGCATCGTACGCTCGCCTAGCGAATATTCATAAAGCTATTTCCACACAGTTTGGACATACCATGAACATCGCCACAAGGCAAGTACTCTCATGATCCCTTTTGCTCCTCGCGCTCGCACTGCTCCTGTAAAACCATGGTGTTCCTCGTACCACTCATCCCGTTGCTCGAAGGCACCCTTCTTGCCCATAGCATCATGATCCTCTTCGTTCCTCCTCCCTCCTCCCTCCTCCCTCCTGCCGTGCCTTCTTCCTTCCTCCTCGTCCTCTCTTTCCTCCTCCTCCTTCTCCTCCTTCACCTCCTCGTTCCACTGCTCAACTCACCTCTACGTAATGGCGCGGGCAACACAAACACACATAACCCCTGCCAGGAGGCCTTCTCCGCAGCCGGACCCTCCAGCTTGTCGACGCCAGCGCGGGTGCAGTAAGTCTTCACCAGCTCGGCGGTGGATTGCATGATGATGTCCTGAGGATCTTCGCCCCCTGCAGTTTCATTACCTCCTCGTCCCCTTCGTCGGACTCCTCATCCTGCCTTTGCGGATCCTCATCGGGCCTTTCTCGTTCTCCTCCTCCTCCTTCTCAAACTCCTCCAACTCTTCCTCCTCCACGTCCTCCTCGTCCTCCTCGTCCTCCTCGTCCTCCTCGTCCTCCTCGTCCTTCTCCTCCTCCTCCGCCTCCTCCTCCTCCTCCTCCTCAGGTCCATCGTGCTCTGCTTGCTCCACGTCCTACTCCTGCTCCTCCTGATGCTCTGCTGCTGCTGTTGATCCGCGGCCACCACCTTCCGTGACGGGGATTCTGGGTGCAAGCATCCAGCCGCGCGTGGACCTCCGCGGCCGCCTGTGCCCCAGCGTGGCCCGATTTCGGCGGGCCCCGGCGCCCTGCCTCAGCTGCAGCGGGCCTGGGACTGGCGACGAGCTCAGAGTGCCCCAGCGAGGCCAGAATTCAGTTGGCCGCGACCCGCCGCGACTGGCTTGGCTGGCCCTCTGGCTCGTGCCGACGGGCCGGAGGAGGGCGAGGAGCAGGGGGGGAAAAGGCAGGGCAGGGAAGGAGGAGGAGAGAGGAGCCCGACGCCGACGACGACGACGCAACGAGGAGGGAGTGGGAGGATGAGGAGGAGGAGGAGGAGGAGGAGGAGGAGGAGGAGGAGGAGGAGGAGGTAGGGGAGGAGGAGGAGG